GATTTTCATAAAAGCATATATGGAGAATCAAATTGAATCTTTTTAAGTGCCACAATGGTAAGTTCGTTTTGCTTGTAATACACTATGTAGAGATATCATAGCCATAATTAAGATCTTAATGATTTGGTTAGTTATTGACTTATTATGTTTTTTATGGTCAATTGTGCTAATTGTTCATTGAATTTTTGACCGACAAAACAAGCAGTCTGATTTCTCCTAGTACTGAATTTAAGGATATTTGATTAATTGAATGAAACTAAAACGCAGACAACATTGGGAAAATTGAATGAAACTAAAACGCAGACAAACTTGTTTTTTTTGTTAAAAACGCATACAAACTTGTTCCATTGATAATGATGATGATAGTAGTAGTAGTTCCATTGCGAGACACAAAGTTCAGAGACATACAAAATAAGAAAAACAAACTAAAGACATAGAGATAGAAGGAGACAAAGTTCACCGCTTAAGAGTAGAGATACCACATAAAATAAATGTTCCAATTAAAAAGAGTCAGAAGACACCAATTTCTTCGAGAAACTTGGAAGATGTTCCAAAGAACCCCACAATCTTATGATCTCTCTTCTGCAAAACCAACATTTTCTCATACTTGATCGAAGCCAGAACCGGCTCCTCATTTGAGCCTATAAGACCGCTTCCGAACGCTCGAGCTATTCACCTGTTTGTCCTAATCATCAGCATTGAAACAGAGAGAGTGTCGTGATTATAGTTTGTCATGCCTACTTCAACGGAGGTGATGTAATCATCAGCACGGAGCTCAAACTACAAACAAAACAAAGTAAATTAAAACAACAAATATAAATAATGTTTCAATCGGTTTTTGAGCTTTATTACCCAAACGAGTACATGCCTACTTCAACTTTTCTAAAACATTATTTATATTTGTTGTTTTAATTTACTTTGTTTGTAGTTTGAGCCATGTTCTGATGATTACATCACCTCCGTTGAAGTAGGCATCACAAACTATAATCACGACACTCTCTCGGTTGTGATGCTGACAATTAATAGGACAAATAGGGGAATAGCTCGAGCGTTCGGAAGCGGTCTTATAGGCTCAAATGAGGAGCCGGTTTTGGCTTCGATCAAGTATGAGAAAATTTTGGTTTTGCAGAAGAGAGATCATAAGATTTTGGGGTTCTATGGAAGATCTTCCAAGTTTCTCGAAGAAATTGGTGTCTATGTCGAGCCAATTAATGATGAATAAACCTTCAGACGTATGAATGGTGTCTTCTGAATCTTTTTATCTTTGCTTTCTATTTTATGTGGTATCTCTACTCTTAAGCGGTGAACTTTGTCTCCTTCTATCTCTATGTCTTTAGTCTGTTTTTCTTATTTTGTATGTCTCTGAACTTTGTGTTTTTCTTATTTTGTATGTCTCTGAACTTTGTGTCTAGTAATGGAACTATTACTACTATCATCATCATTATGAATGGAATAAGTTTATCTGTGTTTTTAACAAAAAACAAGCTTGTTTGCGTTTTAGTTTCATTCAATTTTCTCTATAAATTGGATAAAATTGGAAATAAATGACACTTTTTTTGAACTTTGTCTATCTATACTTTTATTTGAAATTTCACATTTATGCCTAAATTATCCTTTTAAATTTAAAATATTAGTTTTAAAAAAAATATTTGGTGAAACATGTGAAGAATAAAAGAATAATACTTTCATAGAAAGGGACAATTATTGTTTGTTAAGCGATAAATTTATAAAATTTGTTCTACTTTATTCAGAAGACACTTTCTGCATTTTT